TGGGTTGGCTCCGCGGGCCAGAAAAATATTTATTTTTTTAAAATTTTAAAATTTTTATATATTTTTATATATACAAATGTATTTTTATTACATATTTGGTTTATTTTGTTTAAAATTTTAATTTTTTATTATATTTTAGATATTTTAAAAATATTTTAAATATTAAAATTATTTTAAAATATTTTTTAGTATTAAAATTTTATTTTTAAAATTTATACATTTAGCTCGCGAGTTAAAACGATCTGGGTTGGGCTGACCTATTTTTGGCTCGCTAAAAAATGGGTTAGGCTGGACTGGACTGAAAATTTTCCAGATCGGGACGGTCCGGGCTGGCTGAGCCGAGCTGGGCTAGCCCGTTTTACACCCCTACCATTCACTTCTAACCGCACCTATCCGTAATTGCTGCCAACAACAACTTATCAACCAGTCAGTACTAATCATTCATAATCACTATTAAACGCTTTGAAAATGATGTCATCCACAATCGAAACTGTTACGGTACAACCAGTCGAAGTCTTAGCCAAATATGCATAAATACTTGTTGTTGATATTTAGTTGTTTCAATGTTAATTTTAATATTTAATCTATTGGTTTGTTAATTTAAAATTAATTAGCGGCAGTATATATCATGGGTTATACTTATATTACTATTATGCTTGTCATTATACTATAATTATATCATTAGAAGGGTAAAATGACAATCACATTATATTTTTACATTTAAACAAAAAAATCTTTATCCCGAAAGACATTAGACATATTTTTTATTTTCTTATCATATAGTTAATTTCCTTCGGAGCATTTGTTTCCTCAAATTTTACTTAATTGATAATAATAATGATAAAATCCTTTTCTCCATTGTAGTTTGGCTCAAGAATTTTGATAATTTATGATATTATGGAAATATATTAGTCTTAAAAACTATTTTATATTGAATTTTTATCATTATTATTAATATTGTTGGTGATAATATGAATATCCACTCGTTCCGATTTCAAGGGCCACAAGTTTAACGTAAATTTATTGCTTTTTTACTTTATTTTCCAACTTCTCTCCTTTTACACCTCGCATTAACTTCATCGAATTATATAAGTTACCCGTTTTATCAAATATTCAAATCGATACAAACCCCATCTTACAATATCTCCAAATTGCCTCCATAAATTAATTCCATAAAGTTACTACCGTACAAATTAATATTGAATCATCAGAAGTTTAAAATCTTGCGGTAATAATTTTTGAACTCGATTATTTACCTACGTGAGTAATAATCTCAATTTCAACGAGAAAACCATAAAACTATTTAAGTGTTATTTAAATCAATTCAATGAAATCAACTCTATATATGGAGCACATAATTATTCAATCTTTTTCTTTGTCAGAATTTTCTCGCCGTCAAGCTTGGTGTGTAGAAAAATGAAAACAAAGTTTCTTATTTACAGGATTGAAAATTATGCTAACATCAAAGCCATAAATATTTATGTTTTGAAATTGTGTAGGTTTGAAGAATTTATAAAATTTACATAAAATATCTTCATTCAATGAAAAACAAAAACTCCAACAACTAATACAATTTTTTTATAAAAAAGGAAAATTTTCAAAAAAAAATACTCAACTTTCAAATTTTGACAAAAAACACTGAACTTTTTATTTTATCAAATAAATATTAAACTTTTTAAGTTTTACAAAATAAACACTTAAATCTTCTATGATTGTCAAAATAAACAAAATAACTGACGTGACACAATGAGATGCAAACATGTCAGATTATTTTATTTAGTTTTGTTTGACAATCGAAAAAAGTTTATGTATTTTTTTTATCACTAAAAAAATTCGGTGTTTTTTTATAATCGCAGTAAAGTTCATGTATTTTTTGGATCAATTAAAAAGTTTAGTATTTTTTTAGATTTGTTTAAAAATTTTCATGTTTATTTGACAAAAAATAAAATTCAGTGTTTTTTATCAAAAGAGAA